TTCCTGGTACTTCAGGATTCCTTACTGTTCCTGTAAAAATACACTTCCTGCCAGGAGGCTGACCCCCGCGTGACTCAAATCATAAGGTATTTCCTTCTCTCTCCACTCTCCTTGCTGCAGCTGTCGAGATTTACAGCTTGCCTGCCCTGTTTTTGTTTTCTGTTTTTTTTTTTTCCCTCGAGCTTCTTCTCGCCCATTCAATTCTTTTATTTAGGAGACTAACGACCCCCAAAAGGTACCCGATTTCCCTGGTATCATGCAGCACCACAGAGGCGATTCTGTCTCCAGCTCCCGTCACAAAAAATCTGTTGCTTTGCTGTCACCTTCGCCTTGGCTTGACTTTCAAACTCTTCTGCTTTTAATTCAGCCAAAGCGGAGAACGAAAACACCCCTGGCACCCCTAGACGGAATCAGCACTCAGAGGCTCCCCAAATGCTTCCCTTCTCACAGGGACCCCAGGGATCTAGTTCTCGTCCCATCTTGTTCAATCAATTCCCACCCTAACACCAGGCTGTGCCTCTTGGTAGCCCAGAGGACAACACTGGTCACAGGGACGTTCGACACCCTGCCGCAGGCACGCACGCTCACGGGACGCGTAACCACCGCGACCGCACACAGGGACGGCCGCACGCCCAGCCCTGTCACTCGCGGCTTCCCCCGCGACACGGCCTCACGAGGGGTGCAACTGCCACTGCGGAATCAAGACGCGTTACGCGCACGCGCGGGCGGGGGCGTCCCAAGCGGAGTCCCAGGGCCCCGCCGTCGCGGTCGCTGGTGAGAAATGCAGTCCCGGTTAGGACACTCTCAAGTCGGGAGAGCCCGACGGCCCAGGCAGCAGCAGCGGGAGGAGCGTCAGCCCCGCCCACCGCCCCGGGCCGTCTGTGCTGCATCGCGCACGCGCAGCGGGCCTGGGGACCTTGTGAGTGAAATCTCAGAACTGGGCTCCCAGCTGGGACAGTTTGGGTTTATGGAGCGACTTTTGGCTGTCGGTTTGTCTTGAGACAGAGAATCTCTATGGAGAATCTTGCTATGCAGACCATACCCGCCTGGAACTCACAGCCACTCACCTGCCTCTTGACTCCCGAGTGCTTGAAGTAAAGGCACGCACCACCATGCCCGGGCCCTTTATTTTATTTTATTTTATTTTATTTTAACATTGCCATACCAAGTGATGGTTTTCCTTATGGAATTCTTTATACATACCCAGTTGTTTGGGTTAATGTACCCATTTCCCTGGCCCCTACTTACACCCCTCAGCTCCAGTATTCCCCTTCATTTTCCTATCAAATGTAATTACCTTCCCACTCATCACCCTTAAAGCCTCCTTTGCCCTGCCTGCCCCATACACGCAGGAGCTCCCCTTATAGTTTCCTGGCCTCCACGTCTTAGATTCCACATTTACATATGTAAATTTAGAAGCTAGAACCCATTAATATAATTTTTCCCATTGTGTAATTCATACAGTTTGCATTTTTGATTTACTTTTCTGGTCTGGTGTGTTTGGTTGTTTTTTTTTTCCCCTTTGTTGCTTTTTTATGTTAAATATATCATCTAACATTTTTATTAAGTTTTCGTCATTTTCTATCATGATATTCTTCATTTTATTATTAATTTGCTCCCAAGAAAATGTTGTGAAACACACAGTGAAAAGATGTGTGGCTGTGACTGGTTTAATAAAGAGCTGAATGGCCAATAGCGAGGCAGGAAAAGGATAGGCGGGACTTCTGGGGACAGAGAGCCTGGGGAAGGAGAAAGGCGGAGTCACCAACCAGATGCACAAGAAGCAGGACAATACAGAAGAAAGGAAAGGTAACAGAGCCACGTAAAAGAATGCAGAATAATGGAAATGAATTAATTTAGGTTATAAGAGCTAGTTAGAAATAAGCCTAAGATAAGGCCAAACTTTCATAATTCATAACAAGTCTCCATGTTGTTTTGGTGAGCTGGCAACCCAAGAAAAGTCAGTCTACAAAAAATATACTTCAATGGAGTCCTGCTTCCTCCATGCGTATATTGCCCATCAATTTCTCTGAAGTAAATTGGTGCTGCCAGGAGCGTACGGGTCTCATTGTCATGAAAAGTCCTATGTTATTAAGGCGGTGTAAATGCCATATTCTGTAGGTCTTTCCAGTGTTTGAAGACCATCTATGTATTTTAAATATATCTGTTTGACCTTGCAAACATACCCAGCATGATTATAAATTTGTTACAGATAACCAACTACTAACCTGCATTTCTCTAATATCCTAAATAGCTTTCAAAGACTAAAACTTTACAAAACCTTTTAAAATGAACTGCATAATACCTTAAACAAGAGTGGGAACATATATACAATATAACAAAAATAACCCTAAATTTGTATCACTATACAAAAATCCATACCAATGTAAAATATTTGAGACTAGTGGCTGTTCAAAAGCAGACTCAGAAATCTACCCTTTACCTCATCATTTCTAGACTGTAATCCTCTTTTTTTCTTCAGAAATAGATCCCTAAATCTCCTTTGTGTAGCTTTCTCCCTGAACACGACCAATTTGTAACAATTTGTAGCCAATCCTCTTAAACTCTGCCAAACATCCACAACCCGTGGAATGATCAAAAGCCATCCACACCTCCTCTTAGTAATGTGGGCGTTGTGTTTTCTAGACTGCTTCCTGCTGGGTACCACATGTAGCTGGCTTTCCTTTGGGCCGCCAGCTCACAAAAAGTGATGTGGAGACTTGTATTAATTACGAAGGCTTGGCCTTAGGATTGTTTCTAAGTAGCTCTTCGAAGTTAAATTAACCCATTTCTATTAATGTACCTTCTGTCTTGCGGCATCATTACCTCATCCCTGTACTGCTCATCCTGCTTGCTCTGCATCTCCGGGAATCTCTGCCTTCTTTTCCCATCGTCTCCTCTGCCTAGCTATTGGCCATTCAGTCCTCTGCCAAACCAATCAGAGTGAAGCATCCTCACAGTGTATAAACAGATTATTCTACAACATACACTAATCCCATTGAAGTGACAGGCCTGCATGCTGAACATTCCTGGTTTCCCTAGTGCTTTTCTGTGACCTCTAAAGTTATGTGCGTGCGTGCGTGCGTGCGTGCGAGTGTGTGTGTGTGTGTGTGTGTGCGCGCCCTTATACAGGGTTGGGCGGGGGGAGCTTTCCAAGGTGGCTCAGGATTGATGGATTTTTTTGTAGCCTGATTCTGGTGCAAGCTCGGAGGTTGGTGGGATTCCGAGCCATGGTCCTGAGGGCAGGGTGTTTCTTCCTTGGCCCTTTCACTCTGCCCCCACTCATTAACGTGTGCCACAGCATCTGCCCTAAGCAGGTTCACAGAGAATTCATCTGGGGCATATGTCTGTGCATGAGGGTCCCGGGAGGTCCGGGAAAGTCTAGTAAGCCTAGAAATCTAAGAAGCAGAATCTGATTTCAGGCTGTCGGTAACCTAGGTCTTGTGAATGAGATTCCTCTCAGCTGTGAAAGCGATTTGGCTGTAAGAACCATCGCCCGGCTAGATCTTATCTCTTAATGGCAGGATGGCTGCTCTAGGGTCCCCAGAGGTGGCTTTAGATTTTAATTTTTCTAGCACTTTTTAATGGAGTCTTATATTTTAGCTCAGGCCACCTAGGCTGGTCTCCCAAACACGACAGTCATTAGGAGTAGGCCATTATGGCTTACTTCTTGTCTTTTGGGGGTGGGGGTTGAAGCCAGTGTCTTATACCTGGTGGTCAAGTGTTCTACTGCTGAGAGCATCTCTAATCCTCTTATTTCCCTGGAATTGTAGGACTGAGACAAAAGCGCCTGCCATTGCGATTTCAGTATTGCACTAGATTCCTGGGACTAATAGAAAGAGGTACGGTAGTTAAAGCATTTGAAAGTCATTATTGTTAAACATCATATGGATTAGATAGTATTATATTCATAGAACAGCTCCCATTCCAAAATTTAATTTTGATGTCAGGCACACACCTGTAATATAAACAATGGGAATATTGAGGTAGGAAGATGGCAACAACAAGGCCAGCCTGGGCTACAGACCCTGCCTCAAAAATCAATAGAAAAAACTCAAAATAGATAAAAAGTTACAAGTCCTTTGACAAACATAAATTTATATATTCAAGCATTACTGCCAGGGGTGGTGGCTCACACCTGTAATCCCAGCACTCAGGAGGCTGAGACAATTGGTATAAATTCCAGGCAAGATCTTGTCCCCCCAAAGCTGAAAGTCGCAGGGCATGGTGGTGTGTGCCTTTAATTCCAGCTCGGGAGGCTGAAACAGGAGGATCTCTATGAGTTAGAAGCCAGCCTGATCTCCAGAGCAAGCAAGCTCCAGACCCGATCCCCAGCAGCGGCTACCTAGTAAGACTCTGCCTCAGGAACAACAACAAAACCAAACAATAACAAAGCCCACAAGAACTTAGCTGGGTGTGGAAAGGCATTTCAATCACAGCAAACAGGAGGCAGAGACTGGGAATCTCTGGGTTTGAGGCCAATATGATCGACATTATGTCAGTGAGACATTGTCTCAAAAACAAACAAACAAAACCTCCATAAAGTTTTATGCAACGCAAATATTCATGATTGGCCTAACATGAGTGCTTGGAACCGAACTCAGGTCTTCTGGAAGGGCAGAACGTGCTCTTGAGAAGTGCCCAGGCATCTCTTTAGTCACTGTCTTCCTTTTCTGGACGCAGGTTCTTAAGTAACCTTGGTTTCAAACTCCCTGTGTTACCGAAGCTGGCCCTGAAACTCCTTATTCTCCCGTCTCTGCCTCCTGAGTGCTGGGATACAGGGTATGCATTCCCAGGCCCGGCTAACGCGGTGCTTTTAAATTAGCCTCCATCAAGTATAAGTAGTAGATTGTGCTCTAGTGAAGGCAAGGTGATCCAGTCATGCCCAGTCCTAAAGGCCTTATTCCATTGTCCCACAGACTTGGGACTCCACACCTAGGAAGCTCCGAAGAGCTCCCACACTACATCCCAGGGTCAAGAGCCGGCTGAGTTCTTGGAGGAGAAAGCAATCTGCGATGGTCTCTGGGAAATGTAGTCCTGGGCGAGGTCATTTGATCCGGTCCTTGCGGCACTCCTGTTTCTGGAGTAAAGATCGCCACCCCACCTCAGAGATGAAACACCTGAAAAGTTCCAGAGGATTACAGCCTCGGAGCCATGAGAAGTTCTCCCTTAGAAGGCTAATCGTACGTTCTCTCGTTCCAACATTCTCTACTTCCATTCTCGGGCATAGAAGCTCTCCTGGGGAGGCTCGAGAAGCACGGCCTTCTGGGAAATGTAGTCCACGTTAAAAGCTGGGCCACATGGCGGAAGTGGCTGGAGAGAGGTTGTTCCGGATCATCTCAGTGCCCTACCCGACCTAACCGGGTGCTGCCCTACTTGGAATTCGCCGGTTCTCGGAGTTCATAGCCCGTGGGCTCGCAGTTTATACTTCCGAGGTGAGTCTGGCCCTGGTTCTAGGCATTTTGGGTGTGGGGCCTTAAGGCCTTTATTTGTTGGCCGCTGGCTGCGGGCTGGCTCTAGGGGACCCACCCGGTTTCCGGGATGGCGCTGGGGGTTTAAGAGGTCTCCTCCGCAGGGATTACGGCGAGGCGAGTGTGACTCCCCGGGCGAAGAGGTTTTTTGGAGGGTGTGGATCGTACGGAAGGGTGAAAGCGAGCGTGCGCGAGGTCATCGGGACATGGGTGGTAGGTGGTTCCCGGATCCTCTAGTCTTCCGCCACAAACTGGGGGGAAATACATCGGCTCCTTCCTGGATGTCAAGTTCGCTTGAAAAAAATTGCAAAAAAAAAAAAAAAAGCTAAACGATAGAGATGGCAAGGATTTCTCTGCACAGGATAGGTCGATTTGCCCGTCAGCGAGACTTTTAAGTGTAGTCAGGAGTCAGGTGGGTGACCCACATCGGTAATCTCAGCACTCTGCGGCGGAAGCTGGAAGACGGTGACTTTGAGGACACCCGTGGGTACATAGTGAGTTGCAGGTGGAGACAGTACATTTGGAAGGACTTGTCACTGTGGGGCTGCGACTTTTCCGCCACGCCCAGTTCAGTCTTGTTTCGGGATCAAACCACAGATTTGAGAAGCTGTGGAGACGCTGTAAGGCTGGCCACGGACTACCATTAGAGAAGTCAGAATCTGGAGTCCAAGGCTCAGGTGATCCACTTCAGGTTCTAGAAAGAGAGCCCTCTCAGCTCCTGGCCTTTATGACGGGAGCCGCATCTGAGCACACTGGATCTCAGTTGACCCCTGCTCTATCCTCTCCACTTCAGAGTTACAAACCTAGCCTTCAATGTGGTGGGGCTTTTTGAAGATAACTCCGTGGGGTGTGCCCTGGCTCCCCGGAACTGCCCCTACAGGAAATAGGCTTTCACTAGATACCAAATCCGACAGTGCTGAGATGGGACACTTCTCTGCCTCCGTAGCTGAGAGACAAATCTGTTGTCTAGAAGCTGCCTAGTCTCTGATATTTTGTTATAGCAGTTTAAATGGCCTAAAATGGACTTTACCTGTTCCTGCAGAAATGATTTCAAGTTGCTTTGTGTCTATGGTTGCTGTTGAGATCAAGTTCCTCTTTTTTATTTGCATGAGGTGGCAGATACCACAGAAAAGCCCCTCTTCATGCCTCGGGGAGCTCTCTCTGCTGTCCCAGTAAAAGAGACGGTGGGGTGAGACAGATTTGGGGGGTGAGGCAGGGCTGGAGGATGACTGATAATAGGCTGAGATGTGAATGTGTGATAAGGGATATTTTGAAGATTATTAAACCCGTCGCTGATGGTGATATGGAATGGCGTAAAGTTTGAAAGCTTTAATTTTTGGACGGAATTTGATTTTATCTCTTAGGTCATTTTTTTGTACTGCTGGACTGAGCCTGGGCCTTTCAGTCTTAGGCAAGATTTCTGCCCTTGAGCCCTTGGTCAGTCTTAGAAGTGGAGGGGGATCCCATGTCAGGTATAGTCACCTGGAGCAGGGGTTCCCTTCTGGTTCCTTTGGGAACTCTGGGGAGAAGACTCCTAGGTCTCAACTCTCCAAGTCTTCTGAAGGAGCCCAGTGAATGTAGAAATAGAAACTCTTTATGGGGCTGCAGAGATGGCTCAGCCCTTAAGAGCACTAATTGTTCTTCCAGAGGACTCAGGTTCAATTCCCAGCACCTACATGATGGCTCACACCCATCTGTAGTGGAGTCTGATGCTCTCTGGTGTGCATGAAGACAGAGCTTTCATGTACATAAAATACATAAATAAATCTTACGGGCAGGAGAGATGGCTTGGTGGTTAAGAGCGCTGGCTGCTCTTCCAGAGGATCTGGGTTCAATCCCCAGCAACCACATAGCCATTCAGGGGATTCAGCTCCCTTTTCTGACCTCTCAAGGCACCAGGCATACACATGGCATACAGACATATGTGCAAGCAAAATACCGATACACATAAAATAAGTTGATCTTTTAAAAAACAATTCTGAGCATTAGCTCTTAAGGCAGATGCTTTCTTGGGATAGGAGAAGGGCTGAAGAAAAGAGAACAAACAGTACTTGTTTTGGGGAAACTCAAGTTCCCTGCAGAAAAACCAGAACAGGTATTTTATTGGACCATGGGCATTGAGGAGAAGCGTTTTTAAAAAATTAAAGTGGTGTACACCTGTACTCAGGAGGGAGAGGCAGGTGGATCTCTGTGAATTTAAGGCCAGCCTGGTCTACATATCGATGTTTCAGGCTAGCCAGGACTACATAGTGAGACCCTGTCTCAAAAAGAAAAGGAAGGAAGGAAGGAAGAAAATTAAAGGAGCCAGGTGAGAAAGAAAGAAGGAAAAAAAGGGAAGGGAGAAAGAAAGGAAGAGAGGAAGGAAAGAAGGAAGGGAGGAAGAAAATTAAAGGAGCCAGGCATGGTAGCACACATTTCATTCTAGTACTTGGGAGGCAGAGGCAAGCAGATCTCTGACTTGGAGACCAGCCTGGTCTACTTAGTGAGACCCTATCGTTAAAAAAAGAACAAAGAAAATCTCTTCATGCTCATAGAAGGCTTTTCTGTGCATGCTACAAATCAGTGGCAAGTTTGTCCCTGGGAACCTCTTGGGATATTAGTCCTGTAGCTGGTGGAGTCTACCCTTGTGATAGGGGATTTGAGAATGCACGTTCCTTACCCTACTAATGAGGTAGGAAGGACCTCCTGGTTGGGTAACAGGCCTTCCACATGGAGGGGATGAGACCTCTCATCGTCCCCACGAATGTCCCTCAGGAACATTTCAGTCTCCGTTGGGGTTTTGGTCGTGGGATGTTTGTCCTAGTTTCTCTAACTTCATCTTCCTCTCCAGTTCTGCACTTTTCCCAAAGTGCCCAGAAGAGCAGAGAAGCATGGCTGTTGTGGATGTCAACACTGTGTTCAAGGTGAGGTGATGTTTCTTCTGTCATCTGTCCTTTAGTTGCTGATTCCAGAAATGGAATTGTAACCGAATTGTCATGGTAACATGTGAGGTTTGAGGCTTGCCAGTACGATTCTGTTTTCTTCAGTATGTGTGAACTACAAGAGACTATATGGTTTTTGTTTGTTTTGCTTTTGTCTTTTTTTCTCTTTTCCTTCAAGCACCTGAGCTATGTAAGGAATCTCAATTCCTCTGTGTTTGTGAGTTTGCTTCATTTTTCTAACCCTCAATTTCCTTATCCGAAAGGGGGGGGAATTTGCTTTTAGATTTATTCCAACTGAATGGTAGGCGTAAAGTCGTTAACAAGTGCTGACACATAGAATAAAGCAAATGAGATTATGATTGTATCATATACTCAGTCACCTATGAATCAGGAAAAGGGGAAATATAACATTTTTCAGGATTGCTGCAAGTTCAAGCCCATCCTAGACCACCTAGTAAGTTTCAAGTTCATTATATGAGATCCTGTCTCAAAAAAAAAATCAACAAAGAAAACTGGTGTTAGGTATTTGCAAATAAATAAAAATACTTTTGTTTTTAAGTTTGAAGCTTTTATATTTTTATTTTGTTTAATTAATAAGACAGTCTTATTATAGTCTGCAACTTTCTCTGTAGATCACTCTGGCCTTGAATCCACAGAGATCTGCCTGCTTCTGCCTCTCCAAGGCTGGGATTAAAATCTGGCTATTTATTAGTAGTAGTAGTATTAGTCAGGGTCTCGTGTAGCTCAGGCTGACTTTGAACTTGGTTTAGAGCCAAGGTTGAACTTGAACTCATGATCTTTCTGCTCCCACCTCATTTATTGGTTATAAGTCCTTTGATACCTCCCAGAAAAGACATACAATTTCTTCCTTATTTTTTTCTTCATTATTCCCATCAGAAACCCATTGTCTTTTCTGTTCTGCTTAGTAAATTTCCACCTAGAAAATAAAAAAACACTTCTTTTAAAATTTATTGATTTACTTAAATTTAATTTTTTTATTTTTAGCTTTTTCAGACAGCATTTCTCTGTGTTGCCCCAGCTGCCCTGGAACTCACTCTGTAGACCAGGCTGGCCTCGAACTCACAGAGATCCGCCTGCCTCTGCCTCCCGAGTGCTGGGATTAAAGGCGTGCGCCACCAACGCCGGCTTGTTTCCCCTTTCTACAGCATCTCTGTAAGCAGTCTTTTCACCTCAGCACACATAGGTACGGAATTTTAAAAATTAAAATAGATATAGGATGAGTAACCCTGAGAAGCTGAGAGAAGGCGATTTTGTGGGCAGTGCAGAGATAAAGGGGTTCAGATACCCTACGGCTGTCTTTGAGGCACTGGGCTTTTAGGGTGAACTCTAGGAAGGGTGGGGGTGGGGAGAGGTCTACATTGTGGAGCAGTCCTGATCAAGGTGTGGTCTAGTCAGTCCTTGAACCTTCTGTTTCTGCAAGCTGGTGGCGACAGGATTATTCTCAGCAGCTGGCTACTTTCTCGCTCCCGATTGGGTCCTACCCTTAGGGACAGTTGTCACACCTGGGGGCAGGGGGCAGCCCCCTTGAGGCTGTGTTATTCCTGAAGTCCACAGTGAATGCAGATTTAGGACCAGGGCCTGAGACCTTTAGGTGCCCTTTAGGGGTTCTGGAGGAGACACAAACAGTTGACAGTAGGGTGCCTGTACTCCTTGAATGCCTTAGCTTTGGGAGGAAGTGGCTAGGCAGCTCAGGTGTCACTGGTTTCGTCCTGAGTGATCCGCATGACTGCTTACAGAGATTCGCTGGTGACCGGAAGTCGAGGGGAGATACAAAAGGGAGAAGGGAATCAGCCATTCATCCTGCTTTTGGTTCTCTCATGGCGAATGCTCTTTTATTTTCTAAGTGTCTTCTGTGTCTCTTGTCCCCAAGAGTGTGCCCATTGCTATTTTATGTGCCCCTATTGCTATTTTAATCACAACCGAAACACCCACAGAATGGTTTTCAGGCTTCCATTTGAATGTGTCAAGTTCCCAAAACAGGTGGCGTCAGCAACAAATGCCTTTATCCTTCTGGGCAGCTGGTTATTCTGAACAATTGCGTTCTCTCTCTGTGAGCCTCTCTACGGGCCCCGGTGTGCTCCTGGATTCCCTCATGCATACTCTTTAACCTCGACTGCAATTCCTCATCTGTGGCTTTGCCTTTCTTGTTTTCTGGGTGTCATTCTGTAGCCCAGGCTGGTCTGGAACTTGTATAGCCTAGATGTCCTCATTAGTGTTTATATTGATTTGGCCCAAGCTAAAGTCATCTGAGAGGAGGGAACCTCAATTGAGAAAATGCCTCCACAAGATCAGGCTGAAGGCAAGCCTGTAGGGCATTTTTTTAAAAAAAATTAGTGATTGATGGGAGAAGGTCCAGCCTATTGTGGTGGTGCCATCCCTGGGTTCTGTAAGAAAGCAGGCTGAGCAAGCCATGGGGAGCGAGCCAGTCAGCAGCGCCCTCCATGGCCTCCACATCAACTCCTGCCTCTGGGTTCTTGTTCTGTTGAAGTTCCTGTCCTGACCTCCCTCAGTGATGGGTAGTTACCTAGAAGCATAAGGGGAATCCACACTTTTGTTGTGATATTTCATCACAGTCATAGTAACCCCAACTAAGACCCCAGGCTAGCCCTGCATTTCTAGCTGTCTCTCGAAGTCAGTGCTGGGCTTAGAGGAGTGAGCTGCTTGTCTGGGTAGACTGGAGTGATTATTTGGTTGGTTTTGCAGGACCTAGAGAAACAGTTATCCTCATACTTGTGAATTTACCCCAAAAGAATGCAGAATAGGAATGAAATTTGCCAAGGGAAAAGTCTAGACTCTACATTGTGTCATCCTGGAGACATGCTTAATTCTCCCCGCCATGACATGTAGCAAGTATGACCAACAAGCGACAGACACTTGGCAAATGCCTTTTTGTCAGGGTTTTTTTCTGGGAGTGCTCACTGTGGCTACAAGTCATCTTTGTTGTCGACTCTCTGGCCTCCTAGAGATCAAGCTTTCACAGCCCAAGGTCCCACTCACCAGGCAGTACATTCAGGGGAGCAGAAATGATTCCTTAGGAGCCAAAGGCCAGTCCTCTGAAATGTTCAGTTTCCCCAGTGCTGAGAGGGGGCATGCCTTGCCCTGGGGAACCTTGGAAAGGGCGTCTCGCCACTGGCCTGAAATGATTCTCCTCACCGTCTCCTGTGTGCTCGCTCGCCTTGCAGGAGTTGGTGGTGTTCGGGGATGTGGCTGTGGAGTTCTGTAAAGAGGAATGGGAGCACCTGGGCCCTGATCAGAGATCTCTGTACAGAGATGTCATGTTGGAGACCTACAGTAACTTTGTGTCGCTGGGTAAGGCCATCTGTTTCTCCTTCAGAAAATGAGTTCCCTAAGGGCTGGGGATGAAGATCTGTGGGAGAGTCGCGGCTGTCACATGCAAGACTTAGCTGTTGAGCCTTTCTCCGTCCCCAAAGCCACCACTTCAAGCTGGTAAATAGCTTCCTTTGAAGCCCTTTGATCCATTATACATACTTTCCCATGACACTTCCCTGCTAATTTCAATGTTCATCAGTGACTTCTGCAGGCAACAGTTATTTAGGAAAGTGCTTGCTAGACAGCAACTTATTTTAAGTCATAGTCATCTTAAAAATCCGAAAGCTGTTTTAGGTTAAACTAATCCTATAGCAGATGTTTTTGGCTGCCATTGCTTGTTTCTGTATTTGTTTTGAACATTCTCTTTCTCTGAGCAGGACTCGCCATTTCTAAGCCATCAGTAATTTCACTACTGGAGCAAGGCAAAGAACCCTGGATGGTGGAGCAGGCAGGATGGTACCCAGGTACGTATGGATGGTGGAGCAGGCAGAATGGTACCCAGGTACGTATGGATGTTGGGAGCAACTGGAGTGATTTTGGGGAGCCCACACTAGTCAAGGAGTGGTGGTGATCTTCCTCTGATAGTGCACGGAAAGTTCTGCAGGGAGACCAGTGTTTTGGAAGAAACAGTTTGAGAAAGGGAGAGGATCAGCAGCTTGATTTTTCTTTTCTTTCTCTTTTTTGTCTACTTTTATTTAGATCGTGTGTGTGTGTGTGTGTGTGTGTGTGTGTGTGTGTATGTGTGTGTGTGTGTGCGCGCGCGCGCGCATGCATGTGTGCAGTTAGTGGGACTGGGTTCTCTCCTGGTACCCTGTGGTTCTCCAGGATCACACTCAGGTCCTCAGGCTTGACAGCAAACCCCTTAGCCTGCTGTGCCATCTCCCTGGCACCATTCACCTGTTGTTGATGTTGTGCTTTGTGAAATTAAGTGCTGGTGGTAATGGTGCACAGTACTATTTATAGTTTTGCTGTCCTGATTGACTGTTTGGAAGGGTCTGGCCCTGTGAGTTCCTGGGAGACGGTTGTAACATCTTATTCCTGTTTTCCCTTATGAATTTTGAGACTTTGTTCCTATAAAACTATATGATTGTGATTGCCAGACGACGAATATGACCTTTTATCATTGTGATAAAATTGTCTTTGACAGTGTGGATTATCATGAAGTCTATTTTATCTGACAGTAATGTAACCATTCCAAGGTTACCTATGCCATTTAATTTTTAAAATTCTTATTTTGTTTTATTTGAGTGTGTTAAGTCTCAGACCCTGGGACAAAAGGCTGAGGTGTCTATTTAACATATCAAAGGGACCTGGCTGCCAGCTTCTCCCAGCATCCCTCAGCCCCAACATGCTAGAGGGTATGGCTGGCGTACCAGACTCTCCCAGATGTCTCTGCCTCTGCCTCCGCTCTCCCACATATCTATGATACACTTCCTCCTCCACCATATCTAGGAGCAGCCATGTCCTTTCCTTTCCATTTCTTTTTATTCATCGGGTGCCAAAACCCAAGAGTGGCCTAAATGAGCTCCCTTCTAGGGAACTCAGCCTCTCTGAGCCCAGCTGACTCTCCTGAGGTGTGTACTGATCATTCGTTTCTGCTGGCTTCTGCCTTGGCCTCCCTCCCCTCCCCCAGTTTGATTCTAGAGTCTGCTTCTTCAGCTGCCTCTTCCCTCCCCTTGTCTAACCATCTTTCCTCACCTACTCAGTAAGTCACCCCTCTCTCCCTGGGCTCCTTTGGGCTGCCCGCCACATGTCTCCTTGCTACAACCTTTGGGCTTTTGGGGCCCCACCACGTGGACACCAAAGTATCTTAACTAAGACCATTGACCTCTGGAGCTCTGAGCTCTTCTCCTCTGCCTGCTCCACCACTCGCCTGTCCCCTCCTGCTGGGTAATTTCAAATTCAGTTGAAATTCTTGTTACCAGACACCCGCCCTAGTCCCGTCCCTCGTTGTGTGGTGTGTGTGTGTGTGTGTGTGTGTGTGTGTGTGTGTGTGTGTGTGTGTGTGTGTGTGTGTGTCCCCGCCCTGTCCCCCCACCTCCCATGGCTCCTCTCGGCTCCTTCCTGGAGCTTCTTCCCCTATCCCTAGGAGTTGCCAGGTCTACTTTTATATGTTAAATAGGCCCCTCTGCCATTTTTGGGGTGCATCCTTGAAGATCAGAAAACAACTGTTTTAGTTTGTTCTGCTCTTCAGCTGTGGAGCTAAACTTAGATTGTCAGGCATGCACGGAAATCACTTTTCTTCAATACACCATTGTATCTGCCCATTTACTTCTTAATTTTTTTTCTTCTTTGTGTATATGTAGTATGTATGTGAGTGACCATGTTCATGCGTGTGTGTCATGTGCAGGTCAAAGGTAGATGTTGGTTGTCTTTGTTGATCGCTCTGTCCTCTTAGAGACAAGGTCTCTCAATCAAACCCTAGTCTTCCTAGCCAACTTGCCCCCGGAGACAGCTCCCCTGTCTCTCTGCCTTTGGGGACTGGACTTAAAGGTGAGCTTCCATGCCTTCTTGGTGGTTCCATGCGTTCTGAGGATCTATTGGCCGGTTCTCTTGCAATGCATCAGGTACTTTAAGATTATCATGTTGGGGCTGGGGAGATAGCTGAGTGGCTAAGAGTGACCTCTCTTCCAGAGGACCCAGGTTCAATTCCCAGCACCCACATGGCAGCTCACAACTCTGTAACTTCCAATTCCAGGGAACCTGAAGCTGCCTTCTGGCCTCTGCAGGCAGGGCGATTGCTTGTGGTGCACAGTGATATATATAAAAAACAAAAATGAAATTTTCTTTACAAAAACATTGTTTTTTCAAAACAGGATTTCTCTGTGTAATAGCTGTGGCTGTCTGGAATGTTCTTTGTAGACTAGGCTGGCCTTGAACTCACAGAGATCTTCCTGCATCTGCCTCCCCAGTTAGTGCTGGAATTAAAGGCATGCGCCATCAGCCACCCATTTGTTATGAAGTTGTTTCATGTCTTCTACTACTAAATATGTGCTTATTTCCTTTCAGATTTGTTGCCTGTAAATGAAACTAAGAATTTATCTCTAGAGAGCGGCATCTTTGGAAAGGAATCATTAAAATGGAAAATAATAGAAAGAGTCGGTAATTCTTGCCTTGAGGAATCATGTTTTGGAAATGATTGGAAATGCAAGAGACTCCTTGAGACACAACCAGAGTGTACAGAGGAATATTTACAGGGAGTGACAGCCCCATTGGAAAAGATGTCAACCGAATTCATTCAGCCTACACCCCTTGCTTCAAGTGAAACAACTCACTCTGAAACAAAAAATTATCCACAGGAAGCAGGTGAAACCATTACTCAGCCGATAGGAATTCCTACCGGTGATAAACTTAATGAAGTGTACGAGAACACCTTTATCTATTACACAGATCCGATGAAAAATCGACAGGATTTTGCTGGTGAGAAATGTGATGAATTGAAAGAGTGTAGCAGAAGATTTACCTATGACTTCCAACTTGCCCCATATCAGATCAATAAGAAGCCCTATCAGTGTGAGATCTGTGGCAAGATCTTTGAAAAGCATGCTTACCTTGTTCAGCATAATCGCTTTCACACCGGTGAAAAGCCCTGTGAATGCAAAGAATGTGGGAAAGCCTTCACTAACTGCTCCCTGCTCGTCCAGCACCAGAGAGTTCACACGGATGAGAAGCCCTATGAGTGCAAGCATTGTGGAAAGGCCTTCCTCTACTTTTCTACATTTTTCCAACATCAGAGAACACACACCAACGAGAAGCCTTATGAATGTCACAAGTGTCAGAAAGCCTTTAACAAGAGTGCAAATCTCACCAGACATCAAAGAATTCACAGCGGTGAGAAGCCCTATGAGTGTAACTTATGTGGGAAGACGTTTACTTGGGCTTCCAACTTGAATGATCACCAGAAAATTCACACTGGTGAAAAACCTTACGAGTGTAACTATTGTGAAAAGGCCTTTCTCTGTCATTCAGCATTCATGAAACACTATAGAACTCACACTAACGAGAAGCCCTATGAGTGTCAGGAGTGCATGAAGGCCTTTAGGCAGAAAGCACATCTCATCCAACACCAGAGGGTTCACACTGGCGAAAAACCTTACGAGTGTAAGGAGTGTGGGAAGGCCTTCGCTTGCCCTTCATACTTTAACAGGCATCAGCGAATTCACACCGGGGAGAGGCCTTATGAGTGCAAAGAGTGTGGGAAGGCTTTTATTGATTGCAAAACTCTTATTCTACACCAGAGGATCCACACTGGTGAGAAGCCCTTCCAATGCCAGCAGTGCAGCAAGGCCTTTCGGCAGAGGTCCCATCTTACTCAGCATCAGAGAATCCACACTGGTGAGAAGCCCTATGAATGTAAGGAATGCGGACAGGCCTTCACCCGGCTCCTCCAGGTGAAGAAGCACCAGAGAATACACACAGTGGGAGAAATCCTGTGTATTTGAGTACTGCCCTTACTCCACATCTTCACGTGCATACAAAAGAAAGATGTTGAAAAGATCAGGAATAGGGTAAACACCTTTATGTGTCCCTCAGCTACCTAGACCCTGCTGAGAAGGGCCCGGAAGTGAGGTGTGTGCAACCCCTCACATCGTACTTAACATTGTGTAATTTATACTATGATGATTAGAACAGGAAGCCCTTGTTTTCTTCAGCCATTCGTTATAGAATAAGAGTTGTAAGAGAAGACCATCTGATGACTACTTTTTTTTTGTTTTGCTTTATAACCTACAGTTTATTGAGTATTAATTCACAGAAAAATAAAAATTAAATTATGAATAGAGATACTAATTCTATTACCAGCAAAAGGGTTACATTTAATTATAGCTATAGAAAATGCCACATAGAGAACAGCCACACTGTTGGACATTCTCAATGTAGAAGCTATCCCGAGCATTATTTGCCACCTGTATTTTTTTATCAGCTTCAGCTCTGCTTCAGATTGCTGCCTTTTAGCCAGTAGTAAGGTTATTGTGAGGATTGAATGAATTCATAAAAGGGACCTTTGGCATAGTTACTAGCAAGGAGGAGTGATTAGGAAATGTAGGAGTGATCTACTTAGATAGTCTTTGTTGTTATTTTTTGGAATGTTTGTGTGCATTTTATTAATGACGTCTCCTGTCAGTGTGTCCCAATATCAAAGCTTTCATAATGAATTCTGGAATGAAAATGATTGGAATAGAACATGAGTAGATTTTTCACTTCAACTTGTGTTGAACCAGACAGTTGACTGGCTAGACTGCATGGACTCAGTGCATTTAGCGTATAGGTGAGATCAAAGTGTCCTCCACAGCAGAGGCAGTGTGTGTTTCACTCAGGACAGTCGGGTTTGCACAGGATGTGAATGGGAACACATTGGTAATCTGTACCCATCACCACATGACTCTTGGGTTACATGAAAACTGTAGTCTGAAAACACAGCTTGCTTCAGCGTGAAAGATAAGCAACTCTGCATACTAAAACCTGATGAGGCTCACTTGCATAAATACTATAAATTATTCAATCGAAAAAAATCAATAAATCCTAGAGTTGACAACAGAAATATATATTATATATAATAATTGATCAGTGAATTAAAAGGAGTTTTTAAAAAAAGCCAATAATATGGATAACTGGACTTTAAAGGCTTTTCCCAAACCATCTGATACATAGACTAGATTTCCCAGGTCCTATGGAGACATTTGAAAGACACAAGTGTTATAGTCAGTGCTAATGGGAAGGAAGCAGAACATTTTCAGGCAGAAATATATTCAGTTGGTTTTGGTGGGTTTTATTTCAAGACAGGGTCTCTTAAACTTGTGGCAATCCTGTGCTTCAGTCCATTGAGTGCTGGGGTTAGAAGTATGTGCCACCACACTGGCTTGACCACAGCTCTGTGAGCCGGCTAAGCATGTGTTCTGCCACTGAACCACCCCCAGTCGTCCTTATTTTCCTGAGACGTGGTCTTGCTAAATTGCCTAGGCAGGCCTTGAACTCATGGACCCCTTACATTAGCCTCTCAAATACCTGCCACCAGGTACAGCTAGAAAATCGTACTGCTATACGATCATTTGTTGTGTAATAGCAGTTAAATTTGAAATGCTTAGAAAAGCATTTGTTGTGTAATAGCAGTTAAATTTGAAATGCTTAGAGTAAATTTTGTATGAATATATATACATTTCTGGTTGATGCACAAACCTATAGAATAAAGCCAGTGTCCTCTTAAAAAATAGAAAAATGTGTTGTGTTCCCTTAAATGAAGCATGTGGCCGTAGGAAAGGAAGGAAGTGTTTGAGACCTGTTCTAGCCTCAGTCTCAGTCCTGCTGAAGTTCCCAGGTGCTGGCATACGATATAGCAAGGAAACCTGAAACAGATTGTCAACATAAAGCCTTTGTGTGTCCATCATTTTATAATGTTAAGTAATCTTTTTAATGACAAAAGAATTTTCAGTGTTAGCTGAGTATGTTGGTGCTTGTAGTCCCAGCACTGGGAAGGTGGATATAGGAAAATAAGGATCATTCAAGCCCAAACTGGGTCACATGAGACCGTGTTGTATCCTAGAATCATTAAGAGAAGGTAGCTATAAAAAGCAACCAGTGATCAAAATAAGACAGCAAACAAAGATGGTGAACATAGAAGTAGCCAGTTGTGTGGTAGGATGGTAGACATTAATTCTGTCAGTAATTCCAAAAACTGTTTGTTTGTATGGGTTTTCTTCTGTTTTTTTTGTCTTTTGAGGCAAGGTTTCTCTGTGTAGTCCTGGCTGTCCTGGAACTTACTCTGTAGACCAGGCTGACCTCGAACTCACAGAGGTCTACCTGCCTCTGCCTCCTGAGTGCTGGGATGAACCCAAAAAGAATTTGAATAGGCTGATTACTGTAGTTGAAAGGAAGCTTTATTTTCTTGTTTAAATGAAAGACTAGGTTGGTGTGGGATGTACCTGGGATTGTGTCCTTCAGGAGGCGAAGATGAGATTACTGTTGTTTCAGACCAGCATGGGTATATAGAGCAACTCCACCTCAAAAACAACCAAGCGACCAAGAAAGATAACTCTACACAAGGATTGAAACTAAAGAATGGGAGAGAGAAACCATGCTGTTGAGATATTAACCAAAGAAATCATACCAGGAAGAGTTCAAGAAGAAACAACAAAAATGATTTACCAAAAAGTAGGGGGAAATGACATAATGTCCAGAGGTTCATTTCATTAAAAGGATCTGAATATTTTTATTTGTATATAACTAATAGCATGGCCTCCATAAATAAAAAGCAAAGGTTAACCAAATTACAAAGAGAAAAGACAGCTTGGATTTTAAGATGCCTGTCTTGAGCAAAATCAGGATTGAACACATAAACAAATACCACTGAAAGGCCTAGGAGTTGTTTTCTGTGTCTGGAACTTCAAGTCTGGATAAGTATCAGTTAGTTCAAATTATGCACAATGCCTTCTTGCATAGGCCTAGGGCTGTCTCACCATATAGTTGGAAATATACTTTTAAATAGCTTTAAAATAACCATTAATTAAAACTTAGTGGAGTTGAGGGGGAAAGTATTTCCCCTTGGATAATTTATGGAATGCGGTTGTAGTGCATACTCGCAATGTTTGCGGAAAACTGAGGTCAGTGAAGAATTCATTGTCTTAAGATGCTGGAGAATTTTAAAAGGTAAAAGAGGAAGCAATAGGATAGAAACAGCTATCCAGCAGGAAGCAAATGCTGATATAACTTGTTAAACAATTGATGTATTCTGGGGTAATCTTTAACTGTTAAGAAATTAGGGAAGCCGGATGTGGTGTGGCACATCTTTAATCCTAGCATTCAGGAAGAAGAGGCCAGATGATCTCTGAGTTCCAGGTCAGCGTGGGTCTACATAGTGAGACTCTCCCTGTCTGGGGGTGGGGGAAGCAGGGGTGTGGGGGATTGAGAGGCATAGTTACTAATTAAGGCCTGCAATTCAGTACTCAGGAGTGTGAGGCCATGGACAGCCTTGGCTACATAGTGAGACCCTTTCTCAACATTGAAACTAAATCTTATACATTATTGAAGAATAAGTCCTTTAGTGCTTCTAAGTGTAGAAAGTGGAATATGTTAGAAAATAAAGACTAACTTCCTTATCCATAGTCCTTGTCTATGTAGTATTATTTCTTTTGGCCTTTACCACAGTTAATTGAATGGGTCCCTTACTGAGGTACATAGTCTCTTTTCTCCTTCAAAATATAGAATGAGGTGACTGCCTTTGTACATAGTAGCTTCTGTATGCAGATATATATGCTAAAGCTCCATCCCTGGGTTGGATTTGCTACTTTTGAGTATGTGTATATTTACAAAAAGCCTATCATTTGGTTCTTTTCGGATGTTGTAGCACACCCTTCTTTACTGACAAGTTTTTGCTTGTTGAAGTATTGATTTTGCCAGTCTGTTAAGTGAAACGTGTTATGACAGCTTTAATTTGCATTTTTCTGCTACATGTAACTTGCATTAAATGCCATATTTTCCTATTTTCAAATACTACATTTTCTGTGGGATGTCTTAATACTATTTTCTGTTGAATGATTGTTTTTCTAGTGGCTGTGTAAGACTTACAACCTTTTTCTCTAGTTTGTGGTAATAGGTTTCTTTTTAATGTCCGACTTGGGTTTGGTGTTAATGCTTGTAAATTATTTTTCTATTCCAGTGTATTTTCAGAAACCCCATGCTTTCCTCTTATGGCTTATGATTTAAAGTGTAAATACTGGGCTGCGCAGCCGGGGTTACTCTGATGGGGCAGTGAGTTAGGCATCGTGTTCTTCTTCATGGATGGTGACTTGGCTGTCTTAACACTCGGTCCTACCAGTTTTAAGCACAAATTCATAAGCTGTGTACCTATATTTTTGGACATTTCCCCACTTTAAATTTTGGTCTTATTTTGTGTCACGTCTGTAGCGTGGCCTGTGTCCGAGAACGTGCGGAGGGTGTCGGGGATTGACAACACAGAGACTCGTTCAACGATATAAAGAGAACTTTAAACAGGCTCCAAAAAGGTTTAAGAAAAACTTCCTAAGAAAAGCTCCCACCAGAGAAACTTCTGCTCTCTCCTCTCCCCTGGCTGGTTCTGCTCTGACACCAGAGGTGGATGTGTGTGGGTTTTTGAAGGTGCGGTTAGTCTCTGGACAAGGTCGAGGTCAGGGCGGTTTCTGTGGGAAGGCCTTTCCCAGGAACTTATTGTATCATTTTTAGTAAACATGTTTTTACTAAACATTGTCTTACAGCTGCCTACTCCCAGGCAGAAGGGGAAGTGGCCAGGAACTTATTGTATCGTTTTTAGTAAACATGTTTTTACTAAACATTGTCTTACAGCTGCCTACTCCCAGGCAGAAGGGGAAGTGGGTCTCTGCTCAAGGTCTGGTGTTCCCACAATTCACCCCTTTTTATTTTCAAATGAGGCACTCCTGGCTTAGGTCAAGTAGGGTCACCCTCCCTTTTTC